CAGAAAATTTTGAAACGGAAATTATACATTTTTAGTATATTTTCTTGAGTGTAATTAATTGTGTTCTACTACCGCTATTGTTTGTTGGATTCAAATTATAGAATTATAAAACCGTAAACTTAAAAACAAGTCAGTAATTAGTCAAAGATTGTATACTTAATTTCAAAAATTATCCAACAAGATAACTCTACCCAGTAATCTGATACCTCGACATTAATCGCAACTACCAATTTACACGGAGGCAACACGACATTACATTGTGTCTTGTAAATGTCTCTTTTATTGATTACTCCCGTCAGCATCAACCTAGCTTCTATTTTATAATTATGGTTTCCGCATACAAATTTTAGCCTAACCGACATTTTAAATATTAAAGATAAATTGTTAAATGTCGGTTAATTTTATTTAAAAGTTATCTTTGCTCTTTATTCATCTGGTATCTAGATTATCAACCGATTCTTATTTCTTATATATATATATATATATATATATATATATATATATATATATATATATATATATATATATATATATATATATATATATTATTAAATACATTTCTTTTTACACAATATTATCAATCTTTTGAAAATCTTTATTTTTCCATTGCTGGTGGGAGGGGGGGGGGGGTAGATCCTGTTGGTTCTGAGTTGAGCAAATACTCCGAATTTCTAAAATAATATTATTATTTTTCCCACTTTAACGAATTTACAACTATTTTGTAAAAGGTACATAATTTATAAGCCGCTGCTAAACTTAATATCTGCGGGGGGTGGGGGGGATACATGGAACTGCTTCCGTTTTGAGTCTAAAATACGCATATACATGGAATAGCCTTTTAAAATAAGAATAATAAAAACCATAACTGCCGATGTTAAAACGTTTTCAAAATATTAACTTATTTGGTGATCTAAGGGAAAACACACTTACGTATTTCTTTTCAAGAACTAATTGTAAAGTATTACTTCCCTTTTCGAAGTTGATTTGTAGGCTCTGGTGGAATTAAAAAACTGCGCGCAGCTTGGTCAGTAGTGCTGTTGAGACATAAATACATAATACACTGACAGCTTTAAATATATATATATATATATATATATAGGCCCTATATATATATATATATATATATATATATATATATATATATATATATATATACATATATATATATATGTGTGTGTGTGTGTGTGTTACGGTCAAAGCCCGAAGTCGGCCAAAGCGCGCATAGGCCAAAATAGCCTCTCATTGATCGGCCTAAGTCCGAAAGTTTACTTCATTTCGGCCTTTGGCCAGCCAATCCTTGGCTTGGCCATGGTGGACCGGCCAAAGTCTTAATTAGAAGATCATCTGGCTTTGGACGACCGGTCAAAGTCCGAATTAGAAGATCATGAGCAAATTTTTTTTCATACCGTAAGGATCATAAAAATTAAGTCTTAGTTGATTATTATTTAGAATTACATTGTTATTTTTACGCTTGCAGCGATTTGCTATGCATTAAGTTGTGCAATAGCAGTAAATGTAGTCTTGGCCGCCGGTCAGTGAATGTGAAGATGCGATGGTTTGTAGTTATATTCTTAACTATATTTCAAATTGTAGATTTTAAGAAATATATTTTAAATGGAAGAATTTCTGTAGGCCTACTGGAGTAAAATGGTAAAAATTATGTACAGGGGTTTAAGGGTAGATATTTTCTACTTGAGTTTAAAGGATAAATATTCAATTATTGCGGCTGGTCGTAATAACGACTAATCTTCTACTCATTTTCAAAGTCAACCTTTAACTTAAGCACATTACAATACTCGGTTTTTTTTTGTTTTTTTTTGCTTTTTAAGGCACATAACAGCGAATTCTACTTGTTAGATTGCTGACAACTTAAAATAAGAAAAAAAAAATTTACATTTTAAGATCACAACCGTAAATTACACTATTTAAGCTTAAAATGTAAAAAGTAAACCATATTTAAGTTAACATGAAATTATTCGCACATCGAAAAAAACCGGTTTCAGTTAGTAACATACAGTCAATCCAAGGCTTAACTTTTGAATGGCTTTCCTCTAAGTTGATAGAGACTTGTAGAATAATTAATTGATTGATCTGTTTATATTATAGCTTCGATAACGCCGTAATTAACATAAACATTGCACCCTTATAGACTTAAGTTTGTTTGCACTTGGGGAAGTTGTGTATACGAAAAATTACGCGGGCGCCTAAGAGGTTACCCCTGATAACACGAAAATGTATTGTTTTAACCCACGCACTGGATGTTGTGAAATACAATTTATTCACGGAGCTTTGAAGTTGTATGCTTAAGTTTTGTAAGGAGGGGAAAGGGGGGGGGGGTAGGTTAGCGGCTGGTGAACCTTTTACACTCCTAGTCAGCGTGACTTTGGAATGTATTGCACCTGTTTGGTTTGTGGGGTGTGGCGTTAATCTTTTGAGTTGATGTCCGATTTATGTAAGGTGTAGCAGAAATAAATGACTTCACACGAGTTGAAAGGAGATTCGGGCTTAAGTGAAGATTTTCGGCGAGGGGTAGGGGTTAGTGTTATAGAGTCCTCACACTTTTGAATTTTGAAATGTTATTTATTTTAAATTACATTTTAGCTGTTATTTAACATAGGTAAAGACAATTAATTAGTCCAATTAATTAAGATTCTGGTTACGGCAACGAAAACTGCAATGCGGAAATGCGAGAGAGAGATTAAATTTTATTATAAAGAGAGGGATGTCTGAAAATTTTGGATGATAATTTTTAACAAAGAGTAAAACGTAATTTTCGAGCAAAAATAAATAAATGCTGCAACGCCTTAAAATAAAACTATTTGTTATCACAACATCATTTCCCGTTCGTGCCTGAGACACATGGGGCAGCTGAAGTAGAGTGCATCTGCTTCAGATGAAGGGATAGCGTGGATAGCACTTTGCCCAGCCGTCTTTGTTTCCCTAACGTGAATTAGCTGGGTCGACTCAGAGACGTTCCACCCGGATTCGAACTCGTGACACTCGAGTTAGCACTCTAATTCTCTACTGCTAGGCCACACTGTCCACACTGTTAAAAATAAATTAATAATTACATTTTTCTTCAACGTTATGTTTATCTGTACCGTTATTTATTTTGTTCAAGCAATATTGGTATATATAAAGGAACATCATTGTTTTCATTAAACAAATCAATAAATAAACATGTTTATTTGGTAAATACAGCTTGTATTTGATTTTAATTTTTTTGTAAATAATTTTTCCAACGCGCAATAAAGGAAGAATAACACATTGTATCCATTTTTAAGATTAATAAACACTGTTTTAATTAAATGATTTTACTTTTGAATATTCATTTGTTGTTTTTTTAACCAGTATGTTTTAATATATGTTAAATATAATCCTTTCAAGTTTTATAAAGTTATGCTCTCGGGCAGAGGCGTAGCGACCCTTCACGGCGCCCGGGGACAAACTTTTCGATTTACACCCCCCTCAAGATTTCGATTTGCACCCCCCTCAAACTTTCGATTTGCACCACCCCCCCCCCCCTCAAGATTTCGATTTGCACCCCCCCCTCCCTCAAACTTTCAATTTCCACCCCCCAAAACCTTTCAATTTATTTTTCCAACCCATTTTGTGGCGCCCCCTAAGATCGGCGCCCGGGGATATATGTACCCCCCGCCCCCCTCGCTACGCTACTGCTTTCAGGTCTATAACGGATTCTGTCCACGCAATAGCATATATTGCCCTATCTACACTCATTCAAAGCAGCAATGTATTTTAAAATTTAGTTTATTTATTCAGCTGTATTAAATTACCATTAAAACAACGCTGAATTAAACAGTGTACACAAGTTGTAAAACGATATCAAACAGATTTATCAGAGTCAGCGAAAATGACATATTAGAGTTCACGGAAGTACAAGCACACCAATACACTTTGCTGTATGACCGGGGTTCAATTGGTCCTCACGACAGTACACAGAGGCCACTTAAATACCCGCATGTTCTAGAGGCTATTGTTGAGAAAGTATTCAATTGCGGAAGTTTGATTTTAAGTTCAAATACGTGGGTTATTTTCTAGCAGTGATGTAAACTTACAACATGGAACAGTGACGTTAAATTTACAGTCCTTTTATTACGAGCTATACCATAGCTAAATTGCTTTCTATAGTGTCAAAACTGCTTTTTAGCTAAGCGTCTTGTTTTTATGTGAAAACCTCTAAAAGCTAAATTCATTCTTATGTCAGAACTACACATAGCTAAATCTATTGTTCTTATGTATGAATTTTTTATCATTAATTTTGTTTTTTCCTTATGTTTGCATCATTCATTGGTGTATATTGTCCTTATATCATACATAAGGTAAGGCTTTCAGCTACTTGTAGTAATTATATATATATATATATATATATATATATATATATATATATATATATATATATATATATATATATATATAATATATATATATATATATATATATATATATATATATATATATATATATATATATATATATATATATATATATATATATATAACAATATATAAACTGTCCACTGCTTAAGATTTAGTGAGATTTAATACCTAAATAAACCTGATTTTGTTGGTTTGTTACATTGGCAGAAACACTAATGACTACGGTGAGAGATTTTCAGTAAAAATAACCATCATCGTACTAAAAAGAATAACAATTGTAAACGTTTAGTTTTACAGTTTATAGAAATTCTACTTTGAATAATTGTAGATCGTGATGAATGCTGAAATGTATTATTAGTGTTGAGGACAACTCCCACCTCTTCCATCCTGCATTGTATTTTTATTTGGCATAACTTCAGCGTATTAATGAAAATGTTAGTTACGCAAATCATTGAAAGAATTGGTATGAACGGGACAAATGGCCTATAACAGGTTGTAATTTAATAGACTACTCACATATGTTCGTGGAAAATACATTAAATAATACAATTAAGAACAAAGAAGAAGTCAAATTAGGTGAAAAATGTGTTTTGTTTTGTTTATTTGTATATAAAATTAATTATAATCATTGTTGATAAAATTCATTAATTAGCATTATCACTTGTTAAAATACATTTGAAAAATTAGAAAAATAAATCTGTAAATTATCAAAATGTATCACAGTTAATTGAATGTACATTTGTATTCATCGCATCAGCATTATCTTTAGTCTAACATATCAACAAAAATGCTCGAATGTATTCATTCATTTTTCATCTGCAAATTTGATCGCATTTTCAGACTATCAACATGCTGAATCATTTACAATATTCTAAACTTTAATTACATTCTTAAGCGTTTTAGAGTACAATCAAGTATTGATCATGTAAATATTTCAAAATACAGGAAAGCAATCAGCTAAGTCAAACTGGTTCAAAATACACGGATTATGGTTGCGATAGTTCTAATAGGCCATCCAGTTAATACTTGATTTTCTATTGAAAGCGAGTTATCAAAGCAGCTATAACGATCAACATGGTTGAAAAGCCGAGGAAACCAGATCCGTCTGAAAATAGGATGTTAATAGGATTAAGACGATATTTAGATGTTATACTAAGATATTCAGTATTCGTCATAATCACACAGATTCTAACTACAGAGTAGATTAAACGGATGGGCTATAAAATCTGTAGGCTACGTACGTTTATTTTTTAATAAGTAATTGACAAAATCTACATTTTGTGATTTTATTAGTCATACGCTATCAACCAAAAATAGAGAAAGTGTGTTTGGAACACCAATTCTCCTGTGATAAGTAGGGTTAGGTCAGTAGCGTAGCGAGGGGGGGTGAGGGGGGGGTGCCAAAATGGGTTGGAAAATTAAATTGAAAGGTTGAGGGGGTGCAAATCGAAAGTTTGAGGGCGGGGGGTGCAAATCGAAGGGTCGCTACGCCTCTGGGTTAGGTCACACTGAAGAGTTTATGATTATTAATATGAAAGACTCGAGTTTGGTCCCCCTGCTAAATCAATAACTTGAGTCGGTTTAATTACACGCGTCTATTCTTTATGTTGACAAACTAATCAACTTTACATGCAGAAAAACAATACTCGGCTTGATATATATATATATATATATATATATATATATATATATATATATATATATATATATATATATATATATATATATATATATATATATATATATATCACATTTCTGTTGACAATAATAAAAATATTTTTAAAATACTTACTGCAGACTACAATAGCGGCTAGCCGTTGTGTTGTGAGGTCGACGGTAATTTTACAGTTGTCTTTTAAACACGAGTCGTAGGGCTTGAAAGCTCTGTAATGTTATTATATTACACTGATTACGTATTTATTTCAACTTATTAACAGCAAATATTGTTTGAAAACTTGTTGTAAAATCTAGCATCGTTATCAAACACAAAAAGATTTTAAACCGACTAAAATGTATTGAAATATATAGTTATTGTCAGTGGCATTATTGCTTTGCCACCAAACACAAAATTGCGAATATTGGGGTTGGCGGTTTATCGGGCTCAAAAACTGAGCATTAAGAAAATCATAATTTTAAAATCCAATATCATGTATTTTTGCCTTTTGTTAGTTGATTTTGTGAAAAATATTAAGGCTCCTATCCTCTAGGGCAGGGGTCTCCAAACTTTTGAGTCCGAGGGCCGCATTAACTATCAAATTTCAGTTCGGGGGGCCAGTTTCTTCCAGGCATGTCTTTGTTTTTTCTGCGCAAAGTTCTCCGCGGGCCGTAGTTTAGAGACCCCTGCTCTAGGGTAAAGCCGCTTGAAAGGTATATCAAAATAAATGTTCATGTTCAATTGACTGATAGTGCTTTAAATAAGCAGAACTACAGACATACATTAGAAACATTTTTTTTTAAATAATGTATTTATTGTTCTCGGACTCGAGATCCTAGTGGTTGGTTAGGATGGAGTTTTAGAACTACTGTGTCCACCCCATATCATTGATAATTCTTCAGGTCCCAGGTTGGGCCAGCTTGTCTAACCAACACTGATGGACATTTAAGTCTACTTAACTCTTATACTACAGCACGTTTCGCTGGCAGTATATTTATAATGAAAATAATACAATAGAAAGGTTATAACATGGTTGATCCTCTTAAATAGGCCCTTATGTAAGGTTGGTTAAATGCGGTTGATTGGACGGGGCCTTTTTGTTCAATCACTGTTTTGACGCCGATTAAACTTCGTATACATCCCTCCTTTCCTAATGCATCTTCTCAAAAATTGATAATTACATTAAAAAAACCTTTAAAAATGTGTTAAAAATAACAACAAGCAAATACAAATTAATAAGAGATTTAGCTAATGTTTTAAAAGACACCCTCAGAAGAATAAATCAATCAGTGCCACCCCTGGTTCAAGTTAGTTATTGATTGTAGCAGCCTATTATATTCCAAATATACGTTACTGTTGTAGGTGACCCAAGAGCGTTCTGATTCACAGGACCGACATTGCTCCATAGTACACTTTGCATGTTTATTTGTATAGGACCCAGAACCCCAGTGCATAAAGACCATAATCATATACTACGATAGTCGCTGGGAAACTCGGGATACCAACCCCGAATAAACCGTAAATTCTAGATTAATTTTTTATGATAAAAATAACCTCGCCAAATTTCAGAACGATATGATTAATGTTTTAGTAATGCATAACAGACCAACAATAAAACAGACATAAATGTATATATATATATATATATATATATATATATATATATATATATATATATATATATAATTTATAATTTCTTACAAGCATATTTCAGTAATATTTTTTGAATCGTAAGTTGCAGTTAAAGCAGTTTTCTCAGTTGTGCAACCCTTCGTTGCATCTTTCAAAGTACACGCTTTGTCTAGTTCAGTCACGACAGTTTGAATAGTAATTACTGGATCTGTTAAATATATCAAAATACAAACATTTCTGAAAAAAAAATTACTTTATTTCAAAATCACCCTTAGTGTTAATATTTTATTGTAGTTTTAAATTAAAAACAATATTATGAGTATAAAAATGTATCTAGTTTGCCTAGATAGGTATTGCGATTTTACGAAAAAATTATAAGTGTCTCATTATTTTAAAATATGTATGATCCTAAATATAAAACTGGTAGAAATAAACAGCGATAGATACATACATATATACAATTATACATATATACATGTATTTGATAAAAAAAGTAATTGATCAAGAAATCCGAATTATATTTAGATTGATCTCAATCAACGGTTCCAAATACCTGGGGTCGTGGTTTTTGTTGGTGCTACTGTTGTGACAGTTGAGTCTTGGGCATTCGTTGCAGATACTGGTGGAAAGAAATAAAAAAAAATAATTTCTTATATAATCTATTAACCGGTAGCCTTCACAACGCGATTACAATGCGCACCATGGGAATATTGTATGATAATATAATACACTGATTTGTCATCCTGTGATGCTTTTTTGTAAAAAAAAAATATCTATAATCGCTTTTTGTAAAGCAGAAACTCCGAGAACGTAAGACCAATACGATTATTATAACTCATGTATTATCGTAAATACAATAAAATGATATAATATCATTATCTAAGAATTGATGACTTTGTAGGCCAACATCCTAAGTTTACATCGTCAGAAACCACATCATCAAGGACCAATAAACTTAAATCGCACATTATTATCTTATTACACCAGTTGTTTTTTTTTTTGGTAGAGAAAAGAAAACAGTTGATAGTACTAGATTACAAAAAAATTATTGAAAGGAATATTTTAATATCAAATAAAACAGTTTACATACCTGTCACTAAAACAAGAATAGCTGGGAAAAAGGAAAATGGTAAACTTATTTATCATTGTACACCCACAAAGATATATATATATATATATATATATATATATATATATATATATATATATATATATATATATATATATATATATATATAACGCATATAGAAATATATGTGACAAATACAATTACATTATTTATTTTCTTACCAAATGCTAATGTATTCATTTTTTTATCAAGCTACTTGATGTTTTCTGAAAGTAATCAAATGTACACTTCCATTTTAATTTTTTTTTAAATTATGTAAATTGAATGTAAATATTTATTTTTAAATATCTTTAAATTAACATTGTTGAGTATAAGTTAAAATACGTTATATATATATATATATATATATATATATATATAATATATATATATATATATATATATATATATATATATATATATATATATATACAAAATATGTAAACTTATACAACGTTAAACATTTTATATTAGTTTGAACGAATATATAAAATATAAGTAAATTCCGTAAATATGTACTCTTTATAGTGCACACGAATGCTCCTATTAAACCACAACCTTTAACTGTCTGCAGCCCGGCTTTTTATAGGCCAACACTGACCCCTTCCTGGCATGAAAAGACATGTATCTAAGCACAACAAGAATCAACAAACCGTTTCCCCTGACTACCATTAACTCAGATAAGAGCGGAAGATTAGTTTTCTCTTTGTCAAGTAAATATTGTAATGCCACTTTATTTGCAATCAGTGGCGTAGGCAGGAGGGGGGGTGTGTTTAGGGTGTGGGGGGGGGGGGGGGGTTATAACCTCTCCCATTGACCCCGACCCCATATATATATATAGTCCATATATATTATATATAGTCATATATATATATATATATATATATATATATATATATATATACTAGCCGACCCGCGGCATATCATACGCCGCTATTTAGTTGTTTTTTCTACTTTTCAGTAATTCATAATTTGTGAATTCGATAGTACCAATGCTGCCACTGAAAATATTTGCTTGAAAACACTAACCCCCCCCCCCCCCCCCCCCCCCCCCGTGAAAGCAGTTAGTTACCTCCTCTAAGATTAAAATAGTTTCAAACTAAATTATCTGCCCCTAATAGCCGTCACCAAACCCGACTCTACGATTTGTAAACATTTTTAGCGTGAACCACAGCTCACCTGACCATGTGAGGGGGAGGGGGTGAGTGGGGGGTGGGAGGTGGGGGTGGTAGCGATAGAGAGGAAGAGAAGGGACTGCAAGGCGCGCTTTGCAGCTTGTTTTCTAACGTCTCCCAGAAGAGAATTATATATATAGATATATATGTAGTTATATATATATATAGTCATTTATATACATATATATATACCGGTAGTCATATATATATATATATATACATATATATATATATATATATAAATATATATATATATATATATATATATATATATATATATATATATATATATATATGTATATATATATATATATATATATATCTTCTTCTTTCTTCTTCGTTCTTAATTATTAGTGTTGAGGCGGATCGAGATTTATCTGCCAGTGGGTTTTAACTCGAGACTTTTTTCGAATTTATCAACCATGAGCTTTTTTGCCGACTCGAACACGCCTCCAACACAATTAAGCGTTACGTGTCAACTTGTTATGCGCCATTGAGGCCATTGACTCCGATTTCAGCCTGCTTTTCTGTTTGGATTTGCTTCCATAGCCTTTGTCCAACCAAGAACAAACTACAAGGCAGCATTTGTTTAATTTTGGAGTTGTCTCTCCTAGAAGAGTGGCTGTCCCCAGCTAACGAGCCACATCTGCCCGAGGTTCGAACTCGAGACTTTTCGGTTTAGCAACCATGAGCTTTACCGATTCGACCACGCCGACCCCTATATATATATATATATATATATATATATATATATATATATATATATATATATATATATATATATATATATTATATATATATATATATATATATATATAATATATATATATATATATATATATATTATATATATATATATATATATATATATATATATATATATATATATATATATATATATATATATATATATATATATATATATATATATATATATGGTTAAATACGTATGGAAAACATTTTTGACCCCCTCCCATGACCAACTCCTGGCTACGCCACTGTTTGCAATCATATACACAACTTACCAATTCAAAATGCAAAACGTATGTGTGAATGTGTTTGTGTGTGTGTTAGTGTGTGTGTTTGTGTGTGTGTGTGTGTGTGTGAGAGAGAGAGGAGAGAGAGAGAGAGAGAGAGAGAGAGAGAGAGAGAAAGAAAGAAAGAAAGAAAGAAAGAAAGAAAGAAAGAAAGAAAGAAAGAAAGAAAGAAAGAAAGAAAGAAAGAAAGAAAGAACGTGTGTCGGTAAATTAGATTTTTTTTTCTTAAAATAAACGGTAAATAGGAAGACAGAAAGTTACGATGACATATTATTACCCCATATAACAAAGATGTGTTTCGCCCAGAAATAATCACAAGCAACACAGCCAGTTCATTGCATGCATCTGTTTTAGTATCAGTACGATTTAATGATTTTTTTAACATAAGATAATGAGGCTTCTATATTTTGAATGTAAGTGCTTTTCGCTAAAATTATATAAAAAAGATATTCGTTTTTTAACCACGCAATGTCTTCGTTCGAATTCATAACTGAAAATTCACATCTGTATGCTTATAAAATAATCGTATGTTTTTAGAAAGGGTGGGGGTCGGGGGGGGGGGGGGGGGGGGGGGGGGGGGGGGGGGACGACACCATCTGGTGTTACCTTAAGGCATTCAGTTCACATATTAACAAGAGTTGAATACAATTTATAAATGATTTTGTTTTACATGTAACATTTTATCAGGGAATATAATTTTTTTTTCCCTTTGTAATTCAATTCGATAATAAAAATTGTTGATAAAAATATATTTTATAAGATAACTAACAAACAACATAGTTAACCTAGCTTTGGTGCCTTACGTACGAATTATACATGACAAACCACTACACAATATATTTATTCAAATTTATTCAAAATGGACTGATCAGTTTTTAAGAATTTTCACAATCCTTTCTATTTGTTTTATAGCGTCAAGAAATATTAAAATCAATGTAATTTATGTTAAAATAGTAGATCTAGTTCTCAATGTTTACTTTTTCAAAACTGATCAGCATATTTAAACACAAGAGCAAGAGATGTTTAACATAAACTAATATCGACGTTATCATAAAATTAGAAAAAAAAAAATCTACCTAAAATTAATAGTTTTATAAAATCATCAAAATAACTAAAACGAATATACGTCAGTTATATTTTTAAAGATAAAATGGCTGAGGTATTGTGATACAGTAATTGGTAAAATAAACTTTGCAGAGATGTCGATCGCACCGGGTGTTACCATTTAGGGGGTGGGGGCGGTGATACCAAGACAAACAAATTTTCAAAAAAAATACAAGAAAATGATTTTTTTTCCAGTTGAATTTATGATAAATTAGATTTAAAAGTCTTTTAACAATGAGGAGGGGGTGACATCATGACGTAATCTTGCTAACTATAGACAAAACAATACTACCACCAGGTGTATTAATACCTGATTATAGATGAACATCGCTATAATTAACAGTGCTCAATATAAATTCTATCTCACGGAATGGGGGGGGGGGGGGGGGGTGGGGGGGGGCTGTGGACCAGACCAAATTTACAGGGGAAAAAAAATATTTAATCTGAATATTTCCCAATAATTAATTAGTAAATCAACGACCTGGCTGGGGTGACACCACATCTAACAATTTAATATGGAAAACGATTATTGTTTCAAGTTATATTTTATATATACGATATAATATAAAAATAACTTGAA